ATATTATGAGTTTAAAGTTACCATGTTTTTAAAGTGAGACTATGTAACCTTTGAAAGAAAAAACATTTTCTGCTTATAAATGAAAAGTTGAACTTGTAAGCAATAACACAAAAGCATGCTAAAATTACTGCACTCAGGGGAATAGCGTCTAAAACCTTCCTTGGTTTGATATGACAGTGTAAGACTCTGGAGGCAAGGAAGGGCTTGGAAAAGTTGTTGTTAGTATGGAAGGAGAATTGCTGACCTGGACTGAGGATATTGTTGGATGGTGCAAGGAACTCCTAAACCTGACTGACACATCCCCCATAGAGAGGGATCAGCTGGAACACTTAGGGGAGGGGGACACCCTGTCCATTTCACTAGAGTCTCTTTTTAGAGTAGGAATTTAACAAGCCATATACTCCGATATTCCCATACCCATCCCAGCATAACCTCACAAGCTGATGCGGTCCGTTCTGCTTTGCTTTTCCATTGTACTTTTTCCTGTGTCAGTCTTTGTTCAAAGAACATCAAGTCAAGAATCACAGTGCTTGTTAGTGAAACAAAATTTGAAGTAACTAGGCTGTATGAGCTGTTCATCAAACAACCGTTAAACTAGCAGAACACAAGCTTGCAGAAATGTGACATCGTCACCGTTTTGCCCACAGTCAACTAACGTTACACATTCTGTTCTGTTTCAGTGGAAAACCCCTAAAGGAGAGCTCTCTGAGGTAGTCAAAAAGCTCATGATTTACCAAGTGATCTAGTATGTCCCAACCCTCACCAATAGTCATTAGCTTTCGATGAAAGCATCTGAAATCAGTTTCTAATGCAGTATGGCTGGACATGCCCTTAGAGGGCAAGAAGCTAAGACATCTAATGGGAGCTCAGAATAAAACTGCTGCTCTTTCGTGTTAAATGGAGTCATCCGAGGTGATTTGGGCATTTGATTAGGATGCAGCCTATAGTTACCTACCTATGGAGGTAGTCCAGACACATTAAACTGGGAGGAGATGATGGGGTAAACCCAGAAAACACTGGAGAGATTACAGTTATCTATTATCTGACATAGGAATGCCTGGGGATCCAGATATAGCAGAAAGTTGTGGCACAGCTTCACCCACTGTCAAGAGATCCTCCAGGAAAAGATGGAGGCCTCCCCCTCTGTTCCCTCTTCTAAAGATGAGGGACATATGGCTTGCCTTGCCTAGTCTGCTTCTACCATGACCCTAGACCTGGATCAGCAGTGGAAAATGGACAGGACACCACAAACTCCAGACAAGGTCAATTTTTAATTGTTGTATTCTAAATTTTTAACCTATGAAGGTTTAATATTTGTAGACCTTTCAGAGACACAATAATGTGTATGTGGAATAGGCTGCTCAATTCAGCTGGTAATGTCTGGTAGTTACTCAAGACCACACTACCAGAAAGTTAAATAGATTTACTTTCATAAAAAGTTACATAGTCTGACTTTAATTCACATAATATGATAATTGCTTATGGTGAAACCTAGACATAATGTGTATTTTATACCATTTTTGGCTGATGGGGACCATATGTCTACACTGAATATAAAAAAACTACACAAATTAAGGAGTAGTGTTAAATCACTCCATACATTTAAGGCAGAATTAAAATTATTGCATTTCAAAATAACATATGTTAGAAATACTATTTTTCACTTTCACAATAATATTTCCGTGATTTTTAGAAGTTGGTGGCTCATGTTTACCTAGAGTGTACTGTGTGTATCCTCTGTGTCATGACTCACAAAATGCTGCTAATACCTGTTAAACTGGTGTGCTGTATGAAGTGGTGTATGTTGAAACTGTAAAAGCATGCTCCTTGTTTGTTACATTGGGAAGAAAACAGAAACACATAGAGTGTGTTGCTCAGGTGTAGAAGAGCTGGGACTCTGGTTTAACAATGTACTTAGTTCACTAAGTAGTGCTGGGCCTAATGAGTCAGCGCCAGCTGAAATATTTAGGGGAAAAGTTCCTCTATCTGTGTTTTGTGTAATGACTTGGGAGTCACTGCATGTGTGTCTGAGTGCGTCCATGTGTGTGGCTGGGAGTTATGTATGGTATTTCAGCATTCTGTGAGTGTACAACAAGTAGTCAAGTTACAAGAGACAGGAGGGTATAAACTGTGTCTGGTATGTCTTTAAACTTCATTCACTACATTGTGAGTTTCTCTTATTTACCCCCCACCCCCCGATCCCCTGGCCTCTTTTGATTACATCTGTATAAAGTGACATCTATACTAGAATTAAAAATCTTTTCTATTACTGCTTTTGGTACAAACAAAGTCTTTCTTTTTTCAGTCCTGTTTCCTTTTGAATATGCAACAGGGCATCATAGGCTGTTGTGTTTTACTTGACTCGGTTACAACTTGCCATGCAAGAATAATGCAAACTGCAGATTGATATTTTTAGCATGTTTTCAAACTAAACAAATTAAAGGTATTTGGAGCTGCTGGTCAGTCTATGTACCTTAATTCTGTAAAAATGCACATTATTATGCCTCTGTAACAACAAATTTGATAAAAATTGCCCAAATTATATTTTTAAATATATAAATGTATGTAGTGATTATAAATGTATGTAGTGATTTGAAAGATTTGATGTTTACTAATTGGACATGGTTTGCTCTTTAGGGCAACTTGATGTTGCAATATTTAATGCATTTAAGGTGAAAGTAAATATTGTATATGCATTTAATTCATACACGTTTTCTTCCTTAATAATACTACTTTAATCATAATTCTAAATGAATTTGCTCCTGAGACAAAATCATTGCAAGTGAAATAGTGATAAGTGATTAGAAATAAGATCTCTTGTATAGAAAGGACATTGAAAAAAGCCAAACATTCAATCATATGTTTTGTCAAGTATCCAAAGAAACAAAACTAAACTAAATCAAAGCAACTTTTCTCAGTACAAATAGGTCCAAAGTGAGAGATGTGATTTTTTTTTTTTTACTTCCAGCTATTAAATTTTAAACATATCTGCTTGAACAGCAAGTTACCCAAAGGATTAAACACATTTTACAAATTTAATGATTTATTTCAGCACATTTACATATCATTTTGAAGCTCTCTGAAGAATAAACGATGAACATATTTTAATTTGTAAGTAATAATAAACTGTACACAGTAATATTGCCATAAAACATATAACTAACTCTTTAGAATCTTTCTCCCACATGCATATGATTAGTTTCTTGTATGACCTTTATCTGTGAATAATAATGTACTTAATGCACTTGGTCTGTCACAGTTGTCACCAACAGTGACAGCGATGAATGGTTGTAAACCTTGGTGATCACAGGAGCACTACTGTATGTTGTTAATTTAAAAAAGTTTCTGGTGTGTTTAGCCAAAAGGCGTACTGTAACATACAGTAGATTACATGATTTGCTTTAAAACTATATTCCAAATGTCCTTCAACAAACCCGCTGACTTTGAGGTTAAATATGGGAGACTGTGTTAACGCTTGCTTTTGGAAGAGGGTCAACTGAAGGTGCAAGGGTTTGAGATAAGTGCAGACAGTACGTGAATGTTCAGTGCAAAAGGGGTGCATATTTAATGGCTATAGAGTCGTAAAGTGGCACTATTTGTGTTTTGTGCCTGATGTCAACTGTGCATGGCTGCTATAAAAAAGACAGAGGTCGGGATGACAGCGAAGAGGGATATCTCGAAGGGAGACCTAAGTGCTGTGTTTGCACTTACAAGCTTGAAAGTAACAAGATGATGAATGAGTGTAACGTAGACTGACAAGCCTACATACAGTAAGTTCAAAATAAATTCAAAATGCAAGCGACTGGATTTGTTTCTGTTCATGAATTTAAGTCACTTAAAGTTAGTTTTGTTTGAATGAAACTGTTTTGCTGCTGTTTGTATCTAACGTGAGAAACAGAAACAAAACAAAAACTCCAAACTAACACTTTATAAATAGTAATTTATTAGAAAGAAATGTCAAAAATGGAGGACGTCAAATCAAATCTACCATAAGGGAACATTTATAACCACATTAAAGATGAAATTGTGGCTATGATGACCAGTATTCTTCAATATGCAAATACTCGTACACTACCTAAATACTCAAACATTTTGCATACTCTGATTGTCACATTTTGATATAATGTTTATGAACATTACATATTTTTATTCTTTGGTATTTTTTTATTGGCTATACAGTATTCGCATCTTATTTCCTTCAGCCTTCCTGACCCGGTTATTATGGTTGGCTACAGTTTGATATGTGGGTGGTAAGGTTTCACCACTAAAAACATATAAATGACATGGGTCAAAGGCAATCGAACAGATTTACGCCAACAGAAGTACACATTTGGTATTTGCCTGTGTGCAAGGCTAGCTTTCTGGTGACACTGAAACATCACCCAGGGCTGAGGCTTAAGTTTAGCCTGACAGTTTGCTGCTGTGTTTACTTGGTTGCTGTGGATGCAGTGAGACTGGCAGACACTGGTTTGCCCCCAGCTGCTCTCAGTGGTTTTTAAAGAATCTACATTAAGGGCCAGTTGTTGTGTTTGGATGCCAGGAGGGGCTCTGATGTCACAGCTGTGACACACGAAAAGCCAAGATTTATTGGCTCACCTGGATCAACAAGTGTGTGTTGCATTTAGAGTACGAAGGCAGATTTCGTCCTTATCCAGACATGACACAAGCTATCAATGCAAATGAGGGCTAGGGGTTCACTTAAAAACAGTGAAGATAACAAAATACACGCTAATGTAGACACAACCTAGACAATATGAAGTATAAAAAAAAACAATCTAAATCTGCTGTGGTCTATTCAAATTTAGAAGTTTGCCATCTTGAAATTATTTGATAGTTGATTCTCCACTTCGAACTTAACAGTGGTCTACTCATGACTTTGACTTTAAATAGGCAGAGAAAGATTTTAAAGCACATAATGTACATCTGGTTTGCTGAATCTAAATCTATAAGACAAGTCACAAGGCAACGTGTTTCCAGTGTACATTTATTTTCAGCCAATTACAAATCTAATAACATGAGAGTGGCTCAAAATTCTTACTACCCAGACATTTTCAGACAGAGCAATTATAGCATCATACAAAAAATATATTCAAGTATTGACAGATTCACTTTTATAGATAATATTTTCATTTTCTATCTTGCACATACAATGTAAATACAATGCAAGCACTTTCTCTGTGATTATAAAAATGGAATCAATGGATACATTACTGTGGTACAGGTACACAAGGTTTTCAGGAGTATAAACAGCGATACAGTGACATAAAGCAATAAATGGTAGTTAACACATTAATTAAAAAACAGGAGCATTTCTATTCATGGGAAAATTAAGCCACAGTGTGATATTTACATGTACAGTACTGTACATCGTTACTGTAACTGCGCTGGGGGAGATTAGAGTGGAACTATTTGTGCTGAGTATTATGCATCAAATAAAACATATGTGCTCATCATAAATACACTTTCAAAGAAATCCATAAAAAGACAATGCAAGAATTCCTGATTTCAAACAAAATGTCAAATTAAATGGACTTAAATACTCACAGGAATGTAAACATTGCATGTGTTGTTAAAAAAAATATTCACCCTGTTTCTCTCTTCTGTCTTTCACTGCTTGAAGCTGAGTTAATAGTTGTCCCTGAATGCAATGAACTCTCTCTGAGTGACAATAACATGCCCATAAGAATGAAGACTCGCTCCTTGGATATTTCTTGGTATCTCTACCAGCTGGAGTCAAACACCTTCTTGCACATGTTTGAGTTTTCCTGGTGAAGAGGGAATTCAGAGCCGGGGATGAGCTGCTTCCGGCTCTTACGTGACATGATGCTCTTTCCTGATGATAGGCTCTCATACTTGCTCAGGTATTCACTGAAAGCAGAACATTAACAATAGAAAGTCAGGTTTTATATGAGCTGATTAAGTAATAAAATATCAGAGTAATATGTCTTTTCTTTACTGGGTCTTACAGTACAGTACCTAATGGGGAAGGTAGTTTTGTCCATCTGCATGCATACCAGGAAGGGATATTCAGAGAACTGGACGGTGGTGATGAAGTCCAGAGATGCCTCTGTTTCAAAGCTGACCTCCACACCCACCCTCATGAAGTCCATATCCACAGTAACATTACCAGTGACCACTAGTGCTCCCCTGAAACCACAAGCAAGTGAAAACAAAGTGAAAATGAGGTCAAGAGACGAAGAATAAGTGGTTTTGTCTAAGGACCCCCCCCCCATAAAATTCATGATTTAATGTTCATATGAAAATATTTTGTGTTAAATGTCCAAAAACCTTAATGCCAATATGAAAAACAACATGCATTGCACTAGAATGTATCATGTGAAATGGTTTTCATATGATGTTTTACATTTCACATGTCAAATGTGTAAAATATTTTAAAAATCACGTGCAAAAGCCACGTGCATGAATTTTAACATAACTGATCACATTTTAAATGGTCTTCCACTTGTTATAAACATGAGAAATTTAATTTGATTATAAACCCAGGAAGTTTACATCATCATGAACAGGGGTAAACGTCCTATTTCTATTCTAGTAAGAGTCCATTATTTTCTTCTCTCTGCTTTTTGAGATGGAGAGCGTTTAAAGCAGCCAAAGGACTCACATTAGTTAAGTTAATGTGTTAGCGACTTAGTATGGTCATGATTTTACCTTTGTATTGAATTTATATGATTTTAACCAGAGCATTCTATTGGATTGACAAATGTACTCGTTAGTCAGCTAACGCTAGCTTCAGAATGGAGGCCGTATTTTGCACAGTTTGTTGCAACCATTTTAACCAGTTTATCTTGCTGTTGGGAAACGAGATGTGATGGAAGAGGCAAAGAGCATCTGACGTCGTCAGTTTGTTTTGAGTCACACTAGACCCTCTAGCGGCCGAAAAGAAATTAGGTAGAATTGCTTTAAGGTGTCCTGATGTACAACTCTAACAAATGTCTTCCAGCCAATCAGTAATAGCTATTGCTATAACTTCTGAGGCATATAGTCCTTGTTTGTGGTAATGTTTTTGTATTACTGGCTCCAAATGGACTGCAACAAACACTAACAAGTGGACTACCATATAGCAACCTTTCCATATGTTTCAAGTCAAAGTGTGTGCCAACCAGTTGAAAAAAAATCTAACCTCTGTAGCTTTGCCCACAGAGACATGCCTTGGCAAAGATACCAGTATGGTTTGTTCTGCTTCTATAGATAGCCTGTCGGTCTATTATCAGAGTGGAAAAGGTACGGCTATGCTGATCCATTCACCTGCCTCTGCCATTCCCCTGCACACACGGGTCAAATCACCATGAAGTCCAAATCCAACATATTACCCTTAATAGATCCTCATTAAAATCACCTTTTCTTTTCCATCCTTGGTTAGTCATTCTTAGTAGAATGTAGAGCTGTACTTTAAATGTGTCAATAATGCAACTTTTGATAACTTGCTGTGCTATATGTAAAAAATGTTTTTCTTCAAGTAACTTTTTCCATTTAGCAAAATAATAACATTTTTTTGAATGCATCATCAAATGCAATAAAAAATAATCAGATAACACCTGAACAAACAACAACAACACTGAGTGTCAAGGATTGGCACAAGACTTTGGTTTTCAAAACCAAAGTGGACAAAATTGGGTTGATCCTTAAAAAGCACTGGGGTGCATCTGCTTCCCTGTCTTACCCAGGAAAAGCACAAATATTAAAATGTTTTTTTTTTTTGCCATTGCAGTTTAAAGTCTGTTTTCACCAGGCTAACTGACACCAACCAAATGACGTGCTCACTTTTCAGCAGCTACTGTGCATCGACTGCTATGTTTTAAAATAGAGATCCAGATAGAGCTGATGTCATATCCACACACATCTAGAAATGAAACAGATGTGAGGCACAATACAGAAGCATTCCCAACATGCCTGTGGAATAAATGAATCAGACAACACTTATAGTCTCTCTAACACGAATCCAGTATCAACGGAAATGTATTCGCAGTGAGGTGGCAGGGCTCCAAGAAAAGGTCCTTTTCTGCTTATCACAAGGGCTTTTGCTCTGCAAGTAACTTACATCACACTGTACATAAAGCAGTTCAGACATACTCAGTGAGATCCTGTGTCATCCCACTAGAGGCTGGGACCTATGGTACAGCCTCACTCATCAGGTTAAAGGTTTGCTGGTGCCCCAGCTACAGAACAGAAACACTTATTGTCTAATAACTGATTGATTATGTTGTCTCTGGACATACCTGTTGTTGATGCTGGTTTTGGACTCTCTGTACCACAGACTGATCTCCATGCCTCCAGAAATGTCAATGGCTAACCCTCCCTGAAACTCTGCACTAGCCTTCAGACCAGACTGCAGCTGGATGACCTGCAGGACCACAGATAAGAAGACATACAACAGAGGATCTTAAGGATAAGGCTGTTGATAATCTGTGTTTTCTTACAGTCACCAAATCCTATGAAAAGACCAAAACTAAACACCTAATTAATCTGATTAGTATTTCCCATATGGTCATATCCTGATACTTCTTTCTCTGGGCCATAGAGCTCCACAGTTGACAGAAAACTATTAGGGCAAACTGTTGTTTATTATTTGAGTTGATCAAACAATAAATAATCATTTATTTACCATGAATTTGTTATGTATTTATTGTTATTCGTTTATTTTAAATGATTATAATTCCTTTCCATTTCCTTTTACTGCGAATTGTGTGTAATGCATATTTTATTCTTTTTTATCTTTTATTGTGAAGGACTTTGTTGTTTAGAAAGGTGCTATATAAATAAAGTTTTGCTTTGCTTTGCACATACACCAACCAAAATACTCACACGCTCACAAAAGCATAATGATTGAAAATAGTCCCCATTAACTGCATTTTTGTAGGCAATTATTTAGCCCTTTTAAAAACAAAAATATATATTTGGGACCTGTTTTAATAAAGTTTATTCTTCATCTGACGCACTGGACCTGGAGATTGGTGCCACGAAAATGTGGAGGGAAGTCAGGAAGTGTTGAGAGGCAGGCGAACACATTGTTGGGGTTGGTGGTTTCATGAGATTTGGTGAGATTGTAAAAAAAGAACACTGGTGACCTTATTGAACCTGTGTAACTAGTCAAGATGCCACATCCTTGTGCAACTTTGACTGTGACTTTTACTCATTACAACTGGCCGTCACCGTCTTTCATAGACGCGGTGAATGTAAACTTAAACACTAAGATGACATTCGACCACCACACTTGGGTCTTGGGTGAGTGAGTTCACAGTGGTAACTCTTACTTCAGAATGATCAGTCAGTAGGATGAGACCCTTCACTACATTCATGGGCTCCCCCGTCATGGAGAACATTTTGGACATGAGGTCACTGTAACCCTTGAAGAAGGTAACAGGTCTGAGCTGGACATCGAACAGCAGAGCCGACATTCCAGCAAACGACTCCAGGTCCTCCTCTCCCTCGTCAGGTGTGGCAGCGATCAGGGACTCCAGACCCTGGGCCTCGATCGCAACCTAGAACACATGAATAACATGCGTGTTCTCATATTTAACCTAAAAATACTTGAACGTTGTATATAATCTTAAGTTTTTATTTTGTATATTCAGTCATTTCTGTTGTTTCCTTACCTGTAGTCCATGTAGCACTGCTCCGTTACTAGCACCATAAATATTCATATTGCTTCTCCTCAAGATTCCTGAGCCTGAATACAGGATGTCCAAACTGTACGTGGAGGTCACATCAGCAGATTCTGCAGGGAGCCAATTGAATTATTCACATTGAGCTTGTTAAAAGTACCCAATTAGCATGCATGTAGCTGTGATGTAATTAATTTGATTGTTTAATATACTGTATGAAGGAGTAAGACTCCACATCGAGCCTAAAATGTGCAGTAAAATATTAAGGCTAAATGCTTCCTTGACACAGCAAGAATTTTAACATGATACTTCCCCATTTTTTTTATCTCAGACTGTAAATATATCAATAAACATTTCTGAGATCTTTTCACTCTGGTCGACATTGACATGACAGTTAAATACTTACGTGCCATGAATCCTGAGAATGCAGATGATGACCCAGTTTTAGCAAAACGGTCATAGTTATGTGTATTCATGTCCTTCAAAGCTCGCTGTATGATTTTGCTAAAAAAAAAAAAAAGAAGATTTCTTTCAATGTGTAATTCCATCTAACCATAAATCCCTGCTTTTACTGTATGTTCTGCTTCATAAACCTTTTGAGGCTGTTTTAATCAAAGGCTGTTTCTGGTGGTCCATTTGGATGTCTTATAACACACCTGGCAGGCATTTCGAAGCGGAGAATGTCCTGGATCTTAGACACCATGTACTTGTTCATTTCGTGGGGCAGGTTTCCAATAGACAGAAGCAGATTCTTGACCTCGATGTATGAGGGGTTGCTACTCAAGATGATGTCAGCAGCAGCAGCTCTCACATTCTTCTCATAGATGCGTTGGTTTTGGTGGTAAACCCTGTTCACTGTCTGTTTGACCTAAGGGTACAGAGAAATACATGGTTATAGTTTATGTTAGACAGCAATTAAATTTACATATTGCTAACATCCACACACACAAAACTTCAAACAAACTGATACGTGACTCTGGCGCACCTCATCAGTGATGAGATTGGCATTGTATCTCTGTAGGGCGGTGAGAGCGATGGTGCTGTAAGCTCCGACTTCTGACTCTGCGTATTTGGTAAAGATGGGAATGGCCTCGGGGAGCATTGAGTTTTTCAGAGCAAGAAGGTACATCTGGACCTCAGACTCAACCCGTGTACTGTCAGGACCCTCTAAAATCAGTTTCTTCACCTGCACCACTGTCTGAGAGGTAAACACACAGGGAGGCTCATCAGTCAGCTGCTGGTCACAATCAACGGAGGACATGCATACTTTCTGATCTACATATCTTTATGATAAGCTGTGTATTTTAATTTAGTAGAGCTTGTCATTTCTTTTCCTCGTGGAGGCTTACTGGTAAGTTGCATCCTCCTTTCTGACACAGTTTGTAGACCAGGGCTCCCATAATGATCACCAGAGATTCTTTGATATCAGTGCTGCCAATCTTTCCCTTGGAGATATCCTGAAACAGAAAGTTCTCCTTACAATTTGCTGAAAACATTGACTGCTGGCAAATCATTTAAGCATTACATGAGCTAGCTTATTTTGGTGATGAACAGTCTGTTTTGAGGCCGAGTCTCCGACAGAAACTCAATGTAGGTGAAACACATTTTTTCTAACATGTACTTTATCATCTAATGCAATTGTACAGTACATTCTAGATGATGACAAGCCATATATTCTCTTCACGTAAGGAAGAAAAGGTGTCAGTTCTGTCATTAAATATTGACAACAACATGACGCTCACCAACAAAGCCTGGAGCATCTTCTCATTGGGATGTGACGCAAAGCCACATGCATAGAGAAACCTCTCCTGCAGAACCAAACCTTTAGCATCAGTGAAGTTAAGGAAATCAAGCATGGCATGCAGAGATGCAGCGGTCTGGGAAGAGGTCACAGCATCCACCACCTGAGGTCTGACAGCAGCAGGGAAAAGGCAAACAGAGTGCGTTAATGCATTATAGTGCAGTGTGATGGTGTCAGTAGGAAGAAATGAGATGTAGAAAAGGAGGAGGAGCCTATTTACAGAGAGGTCTTGCTGGCACTCTTCAGCACTTTGAGGATCTCATCCTTGGACGCCTTCCTAATGCTCTGGATGATGGCCAGGAAGCTGCGAGGAGCCATGGCTTTGGACAGGTTTGCTGGCTCCAGCTGCTTCTGATGAGCCTGCCAATGTTCAAAAAGCTAAGAGGGAGAACACATGGGGGGGAATGGATTAGAAGACAGATCATGTTCACTCAGTAATTACAGTATCTGTTTACTAATGCATTATTTAAGAGTGAGTTTGTAATAATAACTCCAACAACTCTATTTGGACCTTCGTCGTGCTCAGAAGAAGATCTAAATAATCTATTAATTAAAGGACTGAAGTATTAATTGTCCTGTACTGATTCAGCGTTCAATGTAAGAGCAGTGTGTAGCAATCTAGGATGCACTGGTACAAGTCTGTTTTTATAAGCTGCAAATTATAAAGACTTTTACAAAATCATAGATATTTTTGTACCAGTAACAAAGAATGAAATGTCACTTCCAGATAAAAAGTAGGCCATGGAGATTCCCCATAATAAACACTGTGATATACTGTATATAACCAACTAACACAATTCTTGTTAAGTGATAATTCAGGTTTATTGGCACAGTTTTATTTTTTGTAGTTGTGTTGATTATTTCTTTGACAACGAGACAGAATTTTAAACAAATCTCTAGTTTTAGCCAAACTTACTGTATTTACAACTAAAATAATTACCTAAACTGTTTGCTGGAAACACACATCACTGCTTAAAAACCTAGTTCCTGGTTCAACTTTGACCTGCTGTATTTGCTGTGCATGTGCATGCAGAGTTCTTGTGTAATGAGAGCGTATTATCAACACTTCAGGTGTGCTCACTTTCACTTTTGGCGTTGCATAGATTGGACTATACAATCTGGCTAACTGTCCCAAAAATGACCCAGAAGTGCCAGATTTATCCTTTTACATACAAAGTGTTGCAGGAAGGAGCTCCACAAACACCTGAGACCATCTGTTAAATGAGTCAGTCTGTGGCACTGTGGACTGTTTTGCCATAGTTGTGTTGACAGACAGACAGAAAGCTACCACCATGAACATATGACGCCTGTAACCTGGTGGTAAGACAAACTTGTAAGTGTGTCGATGTGAAAGTGCAGATTTAGTGTCTGAAACAAACAGCTACTCACTGAAGGACAGCCTTTGCACTGGGATTTGACCTTCTCAGCCGCAACACCTACAGCTGCCAGTTTGGCATCAATTGACTTGACAACACCAGCAACATCTTTCCCAGCAGCCTCAAACGACCCAGCCTCCGTACTTACCAATGTGAGGGTTTGCCTGGGAAACAAGAAAAAACAAAATTAAAGTGTGTGTCAAACACTGGACTACACATTAATTCTTTACCTGAACACAACTTTACCTGGACACAACTTTAACTGCAGCAGATCTCCGAGCGTTAACAGCCAGCGAGTGTGTTTCTTCAGCCACGGCTGACTGGATAAAACCACCTTTAAGTGTGAACACTGTAACAGAACTGGACTTCCTGCTCACACCCAAGACCTGAAGGGGAGAACACATCGAGAGGTACTGTTTTGGTAATGTTCACAGTTTCGCATGGTGAGTTGTTCTAAATGCTAACCAACCTGAGTGTGTGTGGTGAATCCAGTCTCTTCAGTCTTACATGTCTCCAGGATCTTTGTTCTTGTCACTTGACCTTTTACTGCCCTGTATTCCACTGTGCACCTTCCAGAAACATCATTCTATTTGCAGACATAAATCACGTTTATTTAAATTCGTTACACGCATTAAAATATTCCAAAAAATAAATGTGATGGGAGCTTTATTGTGCCATTTACCTCTATAACCTTCCCAGTATTCAGCTGTACTTGCAGTAAACTGGCCAGTCCTCGTTTTAGGTTCTTGATGGTTGCAGGTTCAGCCCAGTAGGAATAAAATGCTTTAGCCTACAGCATGTGTGTTAAAACAACACATGTTAAACAGAATTTTATGCTTTCAAACAATGGATAGCAAGACACCTTGACCAGTAGCTAAAGCAGCTGCTAAGGCAAATGACCTACCTACAGTACATACTGCAACTCAAAGGCATTCGGTTTTCCTTTGCACACTTGTGTACAGAAACAAGTCTGCATGGTCATAACAGCAGGGACTATATGAATTACATGCAAAAATAAAACAGTGCAGATCAAAATCCCAACCTGTGATGCTATGACTTAGGATCTGACAAATACAGGATTTTTTAAGGCTGATGACCAGAGTTACAGAAATCTGATAATGATAGATCGAGTAATATTATTTCAGCATAAACACAACACAGAAATCTTTTGATGAGGATGCCGTAAAGTTGGTCATTAAAGAACTGTAGCTAAGATACTGTATGTACTGACTGAGACACTTTACATTTTCAAAGCTGAAAAACAAACTTAATTCTCTTTAACATTACCCTTAAATTACTGTAAACATAGCTGTGACTTCTCTTCTGCAGTTTCTTGTTATTTATCAACCAAATTATAGGCCAGTACTGCTAAGTGTCAAGCTAAAATATATTGCGGCCCATGCTACTGTACTGGTCTGGATTTGCAGCCCTGACACGCAGTATGAATAGTTGACTCACACGTTTTACTCTTATGAGATTGTATTTGCCTTTAAGTCATGTTAAATATTAGATCCAAAGCTCAGCCAGCTCAAAAGACAGCTTAGCAAATGACAGCCAATCCTGAAAAATATCAAATCACACCACAGATTTCTCCAATGAGGCTTCATTTTGGTTCAATAGTGGACTCTGTGTCCTGCTCAGTAGTGCACAAAGCAGCCTATTACATCATCACACAGTGTCTCCTAAACACTATGTAATTTATTTATGGTACTCAACCGCAATATCAGATAGGACCACCATAAATAGACTGTCCAGTGCTACTCTGTGTATTTTCCCCACCACAGCCTGCCATCAGTATAAATAACCGAACAAAACCCAGGGAAACACTGATCTGTCCTGTGTCACATACACCAGTGGCTTCTTTGTCTCAGCTTTACCCCACACTGAACTAACATTAATACTAAAAGGTGATATTTTAGCCAAGATTTGTGAGCCTTCACCATACGGCACTTTATTTATTTATTTATTTATTAGTACAAACGCTACTGATAGCCACTGATAAGGACTCTTTTCTTTATACACATATTTTTTTAGATCAAGATACCAAAAATATACAAAAACCATGTACTTGCTAAAAAGAAAACCAAGATAGCTGCTTACAGTAGCAGTGCTAATGACCTCACCTTTCCATTCTTCAGATGCAAAAAGAATGGTTTTGTCAGAGCAGCTAGTTTGGTCTTCCCCAAAACACTTTCGGCTGTGGATCCATGCAGGACATCCTTCTTCTCAGGTTGATGGGACACAGGCTCAAGCTTTACATTGGAGATCTTATGAAACATTAAAGAGAAACTGGTTAATTTCAGCAAAGTCTATGATTCATTTTTAGTGGATTGTCAACACCAGATTGTCTGAAGAAAAGAAAGCATGAAAAGTTTATTTGCAGTAAGAAATATAAGCACTTTTATTCAAAATCACTTGAATGGATGTATTATAAGGTCATCCTGCCCTCTCTCAGCAGGTCACTGGACCGACATACCGCCAACTGAATGAGTTGGTCATCCTTGCTGCTGGGATCCCTCCACACAAGGTTGACGTCCACATGGCTTGAGATCTTGTAGCCAGCACTGCCCTCTTTTGACCCACTAGCCCTGTCCACCAGCACCTCAGTGGTGTAGATGAATTTGTACAGCTGGTTGTTGTTCAGCCGGGGTCCAGCAGCACCACCTGAAGAAACACAGGAATCACAGCTGGTAAACAAACAAAAGTGTGAGAAGACGCTTAGCTCACCCTTTTACACACATTCATCAACAGCTTGTACTTTACAGTTACTTCCACCTGTTTCCCCTTCAATGAAGCTCCAGATTCTTAGATTTCAGAGTTGGCTGCTGATAAACAATGGCTGTGTTGTCAGAAAATTAAACTTAAAACAGAATCACAGGTGGCTATGGTTCACGAGGTAGAGCGGGTTGTATCTACGATTCGATTCCTGTTTTCTTTTTTAGTCCACATGTCAAAGTGTCCCTGAGCAAGACACTGAACCTTCAGTTATTTCTGGTGATATGAATGGGAAATAGTGTAAAGCATTTAGAATGTGGATCAATGTGTAGAAAAGTGCTATATAGGAGCATTATAGAGTATAAGTAGCAACTTGTATTTTATAAGTTTCAATAAGTTACAATAACACAACATAAATTCTTAAACTTCTTCATTTTTGTCCCTTCTTTTACAGAAATAGCTTCTCAGGAGAGCATTAAGGTGATTCAATTAGTGCCCACTTGACTGGGTGTGTTCACAGTAAGAGGAGATAAAAAATTCATAGATATGACATTAGGGCTCAAGGGAAGACAGACTGACGTGTCAGTTTTCGATTTCATCAGCGGTCACTGGACAACGTGGAGCTGACTTCACCAAATAAAATGTCTAGGTTTTATTAGTCTTTGTCAGTATAAAATACTTGAGGATCATCAGAGACAAAACCCCTACTGAAACCGTCTTTTGTTTGTTAGATTATATCTCATGCTTCTTGACTATTCCCATTCACCTCTTATCAATCAGTGATGTCACCAAGCAGGACTGAATGAAGCTACTCCATTAACACTGACATTGTGAGCTCTGTCACAACACCCTGCATGATCTGCTGCCAGAATTCGTTCATTTGGGTATGTTTAGACTATCTTCCACAATAAAAAGCAGGTTGAAGAGTGCAAACAAACAAGTACTATGAAGAATCACCAATTACTTTTCAACTTATCACCTATGAAAAAAACTCCAGAGCACAGAAAAATCTCGTTTTGACCCAAAATTCAATCCAATTGTTCACTCACCTTTGGCAGAAGCTGAGACAGAGGAGGCTGTACAAAGCAAGAACACAACAAGAATTAACATTGTGCGTCCTCTCCCTGCAGCCAGATGAATGAAACCCCACACAGCAGAGTCAGAGGCACAAAGAAAGGCAAAGCAAGTCCAAGCTTCTCCTAATAGGGGAGGGCAGACTCCAAACTCCACGCTGAAGTACTAAGTACGAGATAATAACCGGGTTAAATTATTAACCCGTGCAGCAGAGATTTGACAGGAACTTGTTGATAGATGCAGCCTGACGCCCCCTTCCAGTGCAGCGGCACAGTAGCCGCATCCCCGCGCGGGCATGTGATTAATCAATCAGTTAAACTGAATTATCCGATTGATTCAATTCATCAAGCGAAAGGTGAGACTGAACGTCTTGAGTGGGGACTTCAAGTACGCGTCCTGACAAGTGGCTAAACAATAGAGTAATGTTGTTTTTTGATAGAAATAAAATCATAACATTTATGGAAAAGAGCGTTTTTAGTCTATTTACCAAGACGTGGTAGAGACATGTCCTCATGTTAGACGTCTTTCACCTCGTTTCTTCTCAGGATGAACAGTCGGTACTTTGTTCTTGTGTCCTGGTTGGGGGAAATAAGGTCAGTCTGTCAGAGAAACCAGCCCTCTGAGCTCAAATTACAGCGTCTCAGGAGGAGCAAAAGTCTGGCAAAATCCAGATGTAACTCAGTCTGTGTACAATGTATGCAACATTTTAACTCCCACCAAATTCTGTGGATTGGTTATATGACACTGAAGCAAATGTATCAGGTTTCTGGACACAATCTTCCATCTGTCAATGGCAAAGGTGCTTTTAATCATCATACAGTATGAATGAATGGGTGGGTGATTAAGGGTCCCATGATATTTCCCCTGAGAGAGGAGCCATTTCAACTGATTGCTCCTTTAATCCTTTTAATGCTGTTTCAGATTTACTCTACTGTCTTTATTTGATTGACATAGATTAAATAAATTACCTCTCACACCGTTATAACATAGTAAGATCCTACAGTACATCTGATTTAAAGGTCTGCTGTGTATTCACCATTTGTAACACAAGTCTTGTGAGTGAGGAAAACTCCAAATGTCTGTGGCACTGGTCAGTCCTTATGACACTATGGTCACCTCGGTGTGTCGGCCAGAACACCACTTAAGGCCCATACATTCCCAGAATGAATCAGGTGCTTGAAGTTGCAGTTAACGATCCTTTAATCCAATTTACAAAGATTACATGTGGGTGTGGTTTTCCTGCAAATAATATAGATACAAATACAATGAATAAGGATTTAAGACATATGCATCTTATAGACACATTACCGTATGCATAAGTATAATACATATTAACGTAAGGCTGGATGAGCAAAGTATACAGAGATCTGTTATGTGTAAACTAATTCGAAATTAAGTTCAAACACATACTTAAGGATTGGTTACAAACAAACCAAAGGCTCTTATTGTGAAGGTCTAACTGGATATACCACTTCCGGTGGAGTCACAACCCCCATTTAGCGGTATATGTGACGAACCCGTCTTTAGCGTCATAACATACAATATATATTCACAGAAACACCATGCAGTTTATAAACACACTGGTAACTTAAACAGTGAAACTTTAAACGCACTATGAACCGTGCACAAGAGAAAACAGATCCTAGGTCGAGGCAAATCATTCAACTAAGCGGCGTACATGAAACGAAAGGAAGTGCATAGCGAGAATAACAAGGTTAGCGACGTGCACTACAACTGCCTCCCCATAACCCTAAAGGGCCCATAACTGATAATACTTACATAGTATTAACGCACAACCACATATCTCCATCACTAAGTAGACAAGCACCACTCGTCACCCATACTACACACACTACAGTGGAAGTGACGTCAGTAGACTACATCATGCTTCAACTTAAAGGACCCTGACCTAGGAAAGTAACCACTACAGTGTGAACTTTGGGCCTTTGTTACAAGTCTGTTCTAAAACAGCTTTATGCCTCTTGACTGTTATTACTCTTTGTTTACTGAACATTGTATCCTCACATTAAAACTACTCCCATAAAGTCTCTACCTATAAGTTGTAATATAAATACGTTTTTAAACAAACCTTGTTAGTGTTCTCATTTTAACATGTTATGCATTTGATTTTTGTAGTTTTTGTAAATGCATACTTAAAAAACATATTTATTCCCTGAGTGATATAACTTCTACAACCTAACCAACCATGAATTTGTGATGGTGACACTATGGTATATAATCTGGTAACAATGTAAATCTAAATAAATAAAACATACTAGAAGCAGACAGTCTTACAGATCCATATATCAGCTTGGCTGATTATAATTTGTTCATTCACTTTATTCTGTTCTCTTCTCAAATTTGTGTAACTACAATGACACTATTCAGCAAAGTTGAATGCAATAAATGTGAATGTATCTAGGCAGCCAGTGGGTGTCAGTGCATGTCTGTGATAGTCAGCAGTTTGTGGCTTCTGTTGGTAAATCTGATTCCAGAATTGCACTAAACACAGACAGAAGATTGCTTCAGCAGCGACATCTATACAGAGTTTCTGTCTCTTGAGGTTGAAAGTAGGCACACCCCTCCAACACACACTGTTATCTGATGATTCTTTCACATCTCAAGCAATTAGGAAGCTGGTCTCTCAGTATATAACAGTTCTGGATGACAAGGTCAAACTTAATCCAGAAGTCAGGAGCTCAGTATTTACTGCATCTGCCAGTTTTCACTGATAAAGCGCCAGGAAGTCTGACCTGTGGCACACTGGTCATGTGCTAATCAGTGAAATCAACAGTGATTCTGACAATTTTATATTTGAAACAAACAAAAATCAAATCAAATGCTGTCAAATGTAAGGATCAAAAGAAGGGTGCTTAAAAATTCAGACATCCTATTACATGTGTTATGTTTAAAATCTATTTATTTATGGATAATCAAAGTATTTCGGTATTAAACTAAATTGTAGGTGAGTGTGTTTGGGAGGAAGGTTGATTACATCAACAAGTTTGCTGTTGGTCTCTGTGCTGTGTGGAGAAGGGCCAGATGTTCTGAGGCGTTTGACCAAAGGTCGAATCAGAGGTTTGCAATCAATCGCTGCAAAAAGATATGTGTGTGCATGTGCGCCTGGCATTAGACCTGCAGTAGGACAACAGTGAGATTTGTTTGAACACTAGATGGAGGTAGTGAGTAATCCCTTACTCTTCATAACACTGTCACTACAACAATCATCTGCACTTTAATATCTTAACAACAGTCCCATTGTTAAGCATATGACTCAGTAAACAGGGATGAGTCACTCACCGACAGTGGGGACATTAATAAAGTAGAATTTGCTGCAGTCCATGGTTTTTTATGTTATTTATTTAACCAATGACGTAAGCAGGCAGTGTATTGTCTGTTTAACTGTATATAACTTGTTCTGATAAAAAAAAAAATGGTGTACTTAACCATTATTAATCAGTATAGGTCAAGTACTGCAGATATTATACCAGAGTGGCTGAGATCACCAAAGCATCATGGTACAATCTAGATAAAGTATACACAGACAAATGTGTATGAAGAACCACATTTATTCAGATATATATTTACAACGTGTCACAATCCAGTTATTTACAAGAATCAGGAGTATGCATGAAACAAATGATCAAGATCAAAGATTTTTTTTATTGTCAATTCACTCTATGTGCAGGACATACAGAAAAAAGTGAAGTTATAATCAGGAATATGCAGAAAATACAAATATGGCACTGAGTGGTAAGATCGGTAAACAATGACAATCATATGACGCTTTTAGTGGGGGAAAAAAAAAAGAATATTTGACACCATGATCACTTTAAGATTTAAAAAATAAACAGCCTTCATGTGTGGATGTTCAGCTCTTCAGAAGATCTAACTCTAAAGGAAAAGTTGTGTAATGTGGGGGAGGTTCACTTTGGCCTTACATGAGATCACTGCTTTTATTTCCATGCTATGTATGCTGTTGTTTCAAAGGTTAACAGTAAATTATGCATCCAGCAAAAGGCTACAAAGAAAAAGCACATAAATTGTATCTTAGTTTCCAAGTCTGTATTAGAAATAATGCTGGTGAGAGAGCCTGTGTGCTCTGATTTCAAGTACTAGGCTATACATTATTTGTTCACTTAAATGCCACCAGCAGAGGTACCAGTTTGTTTTCTAATTTTCCAGTGAAAACTTAAAAAAACAAATCTAACGCAACCAACAAAGGTCTATCATTAATTTGGCAGATTTCATTAAGAAACACAGGCAATGACTCAAAGACAGAAAAATCAACACTGACTGGCAGTAAAATAACGTGCAAGAACCGGCACAGCACACAATGTCCTGAAACATTTTTTTTTCCTGTCAAGCTGCTTATGGACAAAGCCAAGATGCTCTGACAATTATGAAGCACCAAGGGGTTACTGATGCAGTGTGTACTTTGTTTTTTTTTGTTTTGTTTTTTTTTTTAAGTGCCCCTGGTGTGGCTGCTGCTTCACTAAAATAACAGTCCATCATGTCAAAAGCTGAGAGGTTGTAATGACCTTCTTCACTCTTATATAAAGATTAAAGTGCTTAAGGCTGACTTTTGAATCAGACACCACATTTTCAGGTCCTTTCAGTATAAAAAAAAATCTACAATATCCATGATTTCCCTTCGTGACAATACATGTTACTATAGCCACCTGCCCCCAAAACTCTGCTTAAAAACTGCATGTACTGTATCTGTCTGACATGATTGTGACCATCTCACAGATGGAAATAAATTAAAGCTTAAAGTCAATTCTACGCAGCTTTAAGTAGATCCCATTAAACATTCAACAAAGTGCTAACCAGCCGATTCACTCTGAACTATTTTATAAATCTTCAAAATACGTAACACTGATGAAATACAGTTAGGAGAGCCAATGTCCTACCAGTAGACAATAGGCATGCAGTGCATTTCCAGAATCACTTTAGGTTTTTTACACAACCCTAACATGCAGTGTTAAAAACTGCCGCTGCGAGACATAGAAAAAGCGCTACCTCGGAGAAAGCATCACATCTCGTGTTTATAAGTTACAATCCATCCTCCATCATTACAGAATTCTTTTTGAACTGGGTGTTATCTTGTGAGCCACTATACCATCATTTCTGCTTATGCATGTGTTTAACTTGTACTGTACAAGAACTACAATACATCGCAGAGGTTGTGCGTCATTTGAAAATATGGCCCAAAAATCTCTAAAAATAACTCTAAATTTAGTATGTACATATGAAGGAGACTCTTTGTTCTGGACACATTAGCTGGTACATTTTTATTCTTTTCATTCCTGGTGTCCAAACTGCAGAGTCCTGTGTGTACAAAAAAAAAAAGAGACCATGATCCATAGGGGATAGGGGACCAATACTTTATACTGCAATGTTAATGACAAAATCAAAGCGTACTTACCTAGTACAATTCTTCCATTTGGAGAATCTGTGTCAGTCTTAGGTAAACAAACAGCAGAAAAACAGATTTGAGAACAGATTTAAGAATGAATACAATAAAACCAAGACATAAAATGCAAAAATACATAAGACTTGCTGACAGCTCTGAGGCTGTGTTTTGGTAAATACGGGGGTTCTGGCCAAGCAACAACCTCCGAGACACTTCCTTGAAAGGCCACTTGAGTCTGGCTTTTGTAGAAAGAAATTCTTGATAAAATGATATAGTGCTATGTAATGTATTTGCAAAACTGTTCAAATAATTGTTTAATGTGTTTGACCTTTGTAAAGATTTGTGTTAGGGTGCGCTCGAACACAGAGTGAGCGAGCAGATAAAAAGCGGACCCAGGTGGCTGGCTTCGGTGCAAGCAGTGAGGTTTATTTACAGTGAAGGTAGTGACATATATACAGGAGGAGTAGTGAGGTAGATGACCGGGTGTCAATCAGCAGCAGCAGCAGAAAAAGCAGTCATGGTGGATGATGATGATGTACCGGGCTGAAATGCATAACTGCAGTGAGACGGTTCTTGTAGCAGGTGTAGAGGTCCGAAGAGGAAGAAGACACTAGAGACGGCAGGGCAGGATAACGACTAGGGTGCTAACAAGAACTAGAGAGAACAAAGACAATCTTAGCATAAACTTGATAAAACAACATAACAACCACTGACCTGAAGACAGAGAAAAAACTGGCAGGGGAGTGACTGGTGAACAGTGTATAAGTATGGAGGAGACTAATGAGGTGCAACTGGTGAGTAATCAGGGAAGTGGGGCAGGTGTGTTGAATAGTGTAATCAGTGCAAGGGCTAGGCTAGGGGGGGGGAAAAGAAGAGAGGAAGGTGTAGCTGGGCAAACCTGACAATTTGACCTGTGGACATGAAATGCTGTGAGTAGGTGCAGAGAGACTCAGGAAAGTCATGCAGATACATACTGAGATGACTAAACTGTCTGCACGAGAAGTGTGTGGGTGTAAGGTCTGATTTCTTGGCTTTAGATTATCAACATTTATCAACATTATATGAAATGCGTGGCCTTATAGGATTGACATTTTAATCTGCGTTAGCAAATATATCTACATGTTTACTTTAGTATCATATGCTGTGTGATTTACTTTTGTTTTAACCAGTTCACTTGTCTTTAAGAATATAGGAGACGTGTGTAAGGCTGTAAGAGTAGACAGGAAACCACATACAGGAAGTAGACCACGGTCGCATAGCAACACTGCCGATTACAAGATCAGGATGTGTTCTGAAAATGTCACAGATCAAAAATCTGCCTGGCGACAAGATCACCAAATGAGGGGTCAGAACGAGGTCAACAAACCAACCAAGGAGCGAGGATGAAGGACAATGCGGATGATGTCAGATCTACCATCATTTGCATATTCCAAAAACTGTATTAATTTGACTGGGTTGAGGAGTGAGGTGTTGTTCTCTGCTCTGAAGGCAGGTCGAACGGTTTTGCCGTTTAGAATCAGGGCCTCGGATAGAGAAAGAACCCAGAGCTCTGTAATTGCTTTTCTTCATCAAGGTTGTAATAAATATTTTAAAGGTTCTTCTGACTTCGACTCTTCCTCAGAAATGAACATGCAGGACGCTTAGGTCCTACACTTTAAAAAAGAGCCAATCACCACAGACTCCCATGTTAAAATACCCAACTTTACCACAGAAATAAACAAACTTAGAGCGTGGTACAGAAAACTGTTTTTGGTCCCTATAGCTAATTTCCCCATCCATGACAACTGTACAGGGTTGAATATTTTATAAGTCACCTGTTTAAATTATGCTGAAACTAGAAGTTACACATTTAATTAAGGGTGTGGTCATCTTGAATGACAGGTGGAAGGGTCACGCCACGTGTGGCTAACTGCTAGCCGCCTAGCTAGTTCGGCTCAAGTGCTACCTCTTTGCCGCTTTTTGGATTAGCCTTAGGAGATGGAGTGAAGCGCTACCGATATGGTGAAGGCCAGACCTGAGCTTCAAAACCGGTCTCGGGTTTGTCCATCTTTTATATACAGTCAATGGTTCTGGCACCACTTCATCTACAAAGTTGATGATAGAGTTTTGACCCTTCAAGGCCCTACAGTATATGTGGTAATATACTCACAACAACAATGCTAACATGCTGATGTTTAGCAAGTATAATGCTCCACCATTGCCAGCCCAAATTACTGAAGCTCATGGGAATTTGTTAGTTTTGTAGCAATATGTAAACAAAACAAACAAAAAAAAGCTAATGTTAGGATTGGATTTCAGGAGTTAGTTGTTTTATTTACTATTAGTATTATTTTGCTTTTATAATGATAAAGTTTAGTATGACTGTGTTTCATTAACAGCACCATGTATCAGTATTAACCTGGCTCTTTGCATGCACTATAGTTATAATTTTCAGCTTCAAGTCAACTTGTAGTATTTCTCATCTTCTTGGAAAATTGTGCAAGAATAGATTGCATAGATAAGCGTCGTTCTGGAAACTATAGATAAGATACTGTTAATTTATGCTATTTTACAGACGTGAAGTCTGACGAGCTTGAACTGGTCACTCATGTCTGAAGCATGAGTAAGGGGTTTTTTACAACAGAATCAGGGAGTGACACAGCTAACTGCATGTCCATTTTCAGTTAGAGAACAACGCCTGAAAATAGAAGATAACAACACACACCCACACACACACACACACACACTGCCTATATGAACATTCTAGAATATTTACGTGTAAACGTACCACCCATGTACAGGGCAGTCCCAGCCCGAGAAGATAAATGTGACTGATTTTTGATTATCGAAGCTCTTGGAGACTTGTCATCTCATAGAGCCCAGCGCTGTAATAACTCTGCATTTAACCAGAAGAAAATAAATCTACGTAAAGCTGATTCCTGTTTCCTGAATACGTCCCCTACCCGGGGACCGTGTATTAAATTGATTTTTGCAGCCGGGAGACGGAACGGGAGCTCGCTCCGTCCGCTCCACGCATCGGCCTGGTATTGCACTATTTCTGGGATCGGTGCGCTCTCTTTTCGCTGTGCAACCAAAAATGAATGCAAAATAAGTGTCGGTGCAGTTGTGGTTTAAGTACGGCTGCCTGGTGTGAAATGCAAAGTGCGTTTGCCAAGGAGATGCAAATTGCACCGTGTTTCTGCCCCGCTGTACGGTGCTGGGTAGCATGTTGAAACAGTGGGTTTCCAACTACTGGTTGACGGGCCGCTGGCATTGCTCGTTTAGAGACTGTCACCACCGTCAGTCAGTGTGGTTTGCTTGTGAAGGACTCACCTGTGTGCGAGGTGTAAGCGGTATACTTACCTGGCAGGGGAGATACCATGATCAAGAAGGTGGTTCACCCAGGGCGAGGCTCAACCATTGCACTTCGGTTGTCTGACCCTTGCGAATTCCCCAAATGCGGGAATCTCGACTGCATAATTTCTGGTAGTGGGGGACTGCGTTCGCGCTCTCCCCTGTCTGTCTGTGAAGTAAATTCAAAGGCTGCTTGGCCATCAGCTTCTGTGCTTTCACTTTTTAAAAGGCAGCTACAGAGGAGCGCCTCTCATTCTGGGTGGTGTCCTAGTTTTAGTGAACCAAGTACTTTTGTGCCTCTCTCCAACAAAGCTTTATTTTGTGCAAGTGAGGACTGGGCTTTTGTTACTGTGGCTTCTTGCCTACTGTACAAAACGTCACTGTAGTTTAATATTACTATAGCTTCATGCACTGACAACAGACGCAACTTTGTTTTGTGCATCGCCACGTGCTGCCGAACCCCTCGGTGACAGCGACCGTGCAGAGAAGGGCTCGTTCGCCTCCGACGGCCTGGCGGCATCGCTTCTCGGCCTTTTGGCTAAGATCAAGTGTAGTATCTGTTCTTATCAGTTTAATATCTGATACGTCCCCTACCCGGGGACCGTGTATTAAATTGATTTTTGCAGCCGGGAGACGGAACGGGAGCTCGCTCCGTCCGCTCCACGCATCGGCCTGGTATTGCACTATTTCTGGGATCGGTGCGCTCTCTTTTCGCTGTGCAACCAAAAATGAATGCAAAATAAGTGTCGGTGCAGTTGTGGTTTAAGTACGGCTGCCTGGTGTGAAATGCAAAGTGCGTTTGCCAAGGAGATGCAAATTGCACCGTGTTTCTGCCCCGCTGTACGGTGCTGGGTAGCATGTTGAAACAGTGGGTTTCCAACTACTGGTTGACGGGCCGCTGGCATTGCTCGTTTAGAGACTGTCACCACCGTCAGTCAGTGTGGTTTGCTTGTGAAGGACTCACCTGTGTGCGAGGTGTAAGCGGTATACTTACCTGGCAGGGGAGATACCATGATCAAGAAGGTGGTTCACCCAGGGCGAGGCTCAACCATTGCACTTCGGTTGTCTGACCCTTGCGAATTCCCCAAATGCGGGAATCTCGACTGCATAATTTCTGGTAGTGGGGGACTGCGTTCGCGCTCTCCCCTGTCTGTCTGTGAAGTAAATTCAAAGGCTGCTTGGCCATCAGCTTCTGTGCTTTCACTTTTTAAAAGGCAGCTACAGAGGAGCGCCTCTCATTCTGGGTGGTGTCCTAGTTTTAGTGAACCAAGTACTTTTGTGCCTCTCTCCAACAAAGCTTTATTTTGTGCAAGTGAGGACTGGGCTTTTGTTACTGTGGCTTCTTGCCTACTGTACAAAACGTCACTGTAGTTTCATATTACTATAGCTTCATGCACTGACAACAGACGCAACTTTGTTTTGTGCATCGCCACGTGCTGCCGAACCCCTCGGTGACAGCGACCGTGCAGAGAAGGGCTCGTTCGCCTCCGACGGCCTGGAGGCATCGCTTCTCGGCCTTTTGGCTAAGATCAAGTGTAGTATCTGTTCTTATCAGTTTAATATCTGATACGTCCCCTACCCGGGGACCGTGTATTAAATTGATTTTTGCAGCCGGGAGACGGAACGGGAGCTCGCTCCGTCCGCTCCACGCATCGGCCTGGTATTGCACTATTTCTGGGATCGGTGTGCTTTCTTTTCGCTGTGCAACCAAAAATGAATGCAAAATAAGTGTCGGTGCAGTTGTGGTTTAAGTACGGCTGCCTGGTGTGAAATGCAAAGTGCGTTTGCCAAGGAGATGCAAATTGCACTGTGTTAGGATTGGGTTTTAGGAGTTACAGTTGTTTTATTTACTGTTAGTATTGTTTTTCTTTTATAATGATAGAGTTTAGTATGACTGTCTGTGTTTCATCAGCAGCACAATGTATCAGTATTAACCTGGCTCTCATGCATGCATTAAAGTTATAATATTCAGCTTTGAGTCAACTTGTAGTATTTTTCATCTTCTTGGAAAATTGTGCAAGAATAAATTGCATAGATAAGTATCGTTATGGAAACGATAGATAAGATACTGTTAATTTATGCTATTTTACAGACGTGAAGTCTGACGGGCTTGAACTGGTCACTCATGTCTGAAGCATGAGTAAGGGGTTTTTTACAACAGAATCAGGGAGTGACACAGCTAACTGCATGTCCATTTTCAGTTAGAGAACAACGCCTGAAAATAGAAGATAACAACACACACCCACACACACACACACACACACTGCCTATATGAACATTCTAGAATATTTACGTGTAAACGTACCACCCATGTACAGGGCAGTCCCAGCCCGAGAAGATAAATGTGACTGATTTTTGATTATCGAAGCTCTTGGAGACTTGTCATCTCATAGAGCCCAGCGCTGTAATAACTCTGCATTTAACCAGAAGAAAATAAATCTACGTAAAGCTGATTCCTGTTTCCTGAGTGTTACTTCTTGGGGCCTTCAGATAAAAGAACCGGTTATAGTTAAAACTAACTAATCTGACCTGAGAGAAGTGCAGCCTCAATGAAGGTGCTAGATGAAAAGTCATGGCATCATCAAAGTCAGAAGGATTTGGCTTCTGGGACCATGAATATCTGTACCAACTGACCCATTTTATCTATCAGCTTCACATCATTCTCAGTGATTGTTGAGAAAACAGTGCCTCGACACTGCACTTTAATTTAATGAACTCTTACCAACTCTCTCTCACAGCTTCAATGTCACTCACAAGGTTCTGTGCTAAACAGATCCCAAAAATCTAAAACCAAAAACAAACAAACAAAAAGATGTTAATGCTCATGAAAGGTCAACAGAGATCAAATGTAAAAGTAAACTGTTGAAACTGCTCATCACCTGTAGTAATGCGATCCCAATAAAGATTCCTGCCACCACTGTCAGGTTGTCTTGAAGCCACTTCTCAAACTGAGGGACGCAGCCTTTGATATATATGAAGGTCCGCTGCTCAGAATCCTAGAAGAACATTTACAAAACCTACAACTCAAATCAATAATATAGACTAATAATACTGGTTTGACTAATAAGTACAGTCATGTCTGAACACACTCTGGTCTGAAATGCTTGACAACACATTCATTTTTAAATGGTATGATTCACTTTTCATCTTGTGGTCTCCTCAAAAGCCACTTACAATAAAATCTCTGTTAACTAACGTAACCCGGCTGTTTACACACACTCAGAAGACTGTTGTCCTGCTTTGACTCCTTAAAACTACCTCACTTTGGTTTTTTCCTCACATTTAAAGTCAAGAAAACAGTCTTTTCCTTACATTATGTTACTATGGAGTAAGGCCAAAGCTAATCATGAGGGAAGGGGTTCATTCCTCATTGCGTTGTTGCAGCATGAGTAATACCACACAGCCCAAAGTACTGATGGAGGGCCAGCAGCTATATTTTGAAGAGTGAGGAATTAGGAAATTTACTAGAAGAGGAACATTGTGCCCAGGGTGGAGTACGTGATGACCTCATGCAGCCAGACAAACCTGTCTGAGGCAGAATAAGCAAGCTCTTCATACAGTTTTATAGATGAGGATCTCAGTATATTATAAATGTAAGTTATCTCACTGTTTTTGCTCGAATGTCGTATCCACACTGCGTGTTGATGACGTCCTCCTGTAAAGAGAAAATGGTTTATACTTATATATTGTATACTTACACATATGAGTTACATACTAGGAACATATAAAAAAAGGGTAATACTCCTTGGAACGGGACTTTATATTTATTGATTTTACAATTGTACTGATTGTCACTTTTTTTTAAATCAGGATCAACATGTTATCAAGCGTACTACTGGAGTGTTTTGGCCGCTGTATGTGATTTAAACCAGCAGTGCTCCAAGTGCACCAAATCTGAAAATCTGCACAGAACCAGAGACTTTTGGATTCAGGTCAGATTTAGGACTTCACTTGAACAAACCTCACATTTTGAACTGGTAACTTTCTGTGCTCACTGTACTTTACAACAGAGTGCTGTAGTAGTGAGTACTACATCTTGGAACTGAGTTTGCATTTTTGTACTTCTGGTTCCCTCAACCTGAAGCCAGTGGTTTTTTTGAATGGGTTTTTGGTTAGACGTCTGAAATAAGGTCTGTGGTTAACACAAGGCCAATACATTTTCAGGTTTTGTTCTAAGATATACACCAGTAAATACCCCACTCATGATTTTTAATACTATTATAGAACACTAAGTGCTAAAATATGGAAGACTCCCACCATGTGTTTTTCAGCTCATTTTCTATTTCTAAAATCTTTTTTGAGTCATGTTGCTCTCACAGAAGATAACCTTAATGGAACAGCATGTCCTCGGGTCAGCAAAAAAAAAAAAAAAGACTCTTGCACAATTTTCACTGACATGAAGCAGATCTGTTTTGCTGAGTGTTGCCACTGCTTTGCACAGTGAGCAGCATTTAGAGTCTCTTTCTGCCAAAAAACACCTTAGTCAAGATAACTCCTCCCTGCTGCTCTCAGACTTTGCTTTGCTGGTGTCCTGTTGGAAGCCAGGCATGACTTTCAGGAGGACACAAATCACCGGTTACAGGGAAGACCTTCACAATTTCCCTTTCAACTAGCAGTAAAGGTTTCAGTATGTTAAAAAGTGGCCTACTCGAAAACATAAAAAGGCCAAATTACACCCACAACCTTGTTTTGCTTTACCATAAACGGGAATGAATTGTCTGTGAACTAAAAAGACTCTTAAGGAAGACATACAGCTGGGTCTTTGGTGCAGCAGGAAAAGGGCACGCCGCACTTCTCTCGACTCGGGTTTGAATCAGTGCAGTTGAAGTAGATGTTCAAATTCCAGTCATCAGCTCCGAAAGCGCCACAACACTCCCACTAGAAGTTTAAACAGATAACAAAACCTCATATAGAAGACAACAGTGTACCACAGAAATGACAGACCATAATCTCCCTAAGACAAAAGAAAACAGCGGAGTGGAATCAGCACTGAGGATGAGGAACATAGCGCTCACATATTCCTGGGTAAAGTCTATCAGGTTCTGAAGGTCAATGTCGTCCCTGTAGGCCCGAATGTTGTTGTTAATGAAAAAGTTGAGCTGGTCCTTAATCCAGTCTTTGAAGACAAAGGCCAGGACTCCTGCAGTCAGCTCCAGGAAGAAGATGATACCGAGGAACACAGAGAACTGGAAAACATATAAACATGTGCAGTTCTGTGAATTTAACTAATCTTATTATGAAACCAGGAAATGTCTGAGGAAGGCTTTAGGAAACATACAAACTTGAGCAGGAAAGAGTTTTCTCGCAGAGCTCCTATGCAACCGGCAAACCCAAGGACGAACATCACACCACCCACCACGAGGAAGAGCCAGACAGGGTCAAAACCCCCCAGGTCTGTGATGGATGAGATGTTGGAGAGAACACCCTGGAGAAGAAACAAGAAGAGAGAAGAGTGACAGGTTAAAGGGACGAAATCATTACAAGAGAAATCATTTAAAATCCGAATGAAGTCCTCTCTCTCTCTATGAGCTTATTCAGGGCAGGTAAAAGTGACTGTTTTTATGAAAAGACAGGAGTCTGATAAGCTTCCAATCCTGAGCTATACACCCTCCCTTGAATTAAACTTTACTAATGTGATATTGGAGAGATGAAATAATTAGAGATGAAAGCCAAGACAGGCTCAGCATACAATGAATGAATCTGTGACGACTGGGTTAGATCCATTCACTCTATTGTTCAGAGGGGTGTCTCACCGGAAAGGATGACATTACTTTGTGAATCAGTAAAAGCCACCCCTACCATTTTGTGAGGGTGTAAACAACAAGTGGTGAATGTAAAATTATCCACTTTGTTTCTAAATTATTAGATGTTCTTAAGCAACTCAATATAAAACTCACCTTTTCACTCCAGGCCCACAACCCAATGCCAAGAAACGCCACTCCAAGGAACTGACACAGACGAAGAAGAAAGAAGCAAGAGAGCAGCATTATTTTTCTGTGACTGCAACATGTAGTCTTCACACAGCAACACGGAGAGAGAAACCACAGAGAGATTTTCCTGGCAGTGGTCCATTGCTTAATATTTCTCCTCTCAGTCTGCAGTATTAGCAGGAGCATCTTTAAACAGCCTGAATGCATTATTACGCTACAAGGTCCCATCTGCATTGTAACAGTTCAAAACCACATTTCAGCACTGAAACAGAAGAAAGTAAGTTATTTTGAGCTGGTCCATTTCGATTCTGTATATTGTTTAATAACTCAGGGGATGTTATTGGTATCATCATAGATAAGTAATTAAAATGAGAAGCAATTGCCATTTTAATAGTATTGATTTTTTCCCCCCTAAGGAGAGATTTATCAGTTTCCATTTATCCAGGTTTGTCATATATTTGTTAATAAAAATTACATTTTTCTAGAGCTGATCACAATCTAATCCCTACATATTTCATTCCTACTGACAGCATTTTATTTTGAAATAAACCACACAAGCTAAACTTAACAGCATTGAAACACACACACACACACACACACACACACACACACACACACAGTCATGTGAAAAAATTAGGACACCCTTTGAAAGCATGAGTATTTTGTAACATGTTTTAATATATGGTTATTTAATCTCAATACAGTAGTAATACAACTAAACAAGTAAAACTGAAGAAAAGTCTTTTCAAGATCTTCTGTAAATGTAATTCTACAAAAATGCCTATTCTAACTGAGGAAAAAGATAGCACACCCTCACATGTATGCCCTCTTAAAATGGCTCAAAGCACACACAGGTATATCACACCAGGTGCACATAATTAGTAGATCGTTAGCATTTTGAATGAGGCTTGCCCTATCTAAACCTCAGACATTTAGTTTGGTGTGCTCCTGACTGTTGAAGTGAGAGTGAGCACCATGGTGAGAGCAAAAGAGCTGTCGGAGGCCTTCAGAAAAAACACTGTAGCAGCCTATGAGTCTGGTAAAGGATTTAAAAAGATCTCAAAAGATTTTGAAATCAGCCATTCCACTGTCCGGAAGATAGTCTACAAGTGGAGGGCTTTCAAAACAACTGCCAACATGCCAAGGTCTGGTCGCCCCAGCAAGTTCACACCAAGAGCAGACCGCAAGATGCTAAAAGAGGTCTCCAAAAACCCTAAAATGTCATCTCGAGACCTACAGCAGGCTCTGGCTACTGTTGATGTAGAAGTGCATGCCTCTACAATCAGAAAGAGACTGCACAAGTTTAACTCGCATGGGAGGCGTGCAAGGAGGAAACCTTTGCTCTCTAAGAGAAACATCAAGGCCAGACTGACATTTGCCAGAGAGAATGTTGACAAAGACCAGGACTTCTGGAATAATGTTCGTTGGACAGATGAGTCCAAAATTGAATTATTTGGACACCAGAGCAGAGGACATGTTTGGCGTAAACCAAACACAGCATTCCAGGAAAAGAACCTCATACCAACTGTGAAGCATGGAGGTGGAAGTGTCATGGTTTGGGGCTGCTTTGCTGCAGCAGGACCTGGTCAGCTCACCATCATAGAATCCACCATGAATTCTACTGTGTATCAGAAGGTGCTTGAAGAACATGTGAGACCATCGGTTAGAAAATTAAAGCTGAAGCGGAACTGGACCATGCAACATGACAATGACCCAAAACATACTAGTAAATCAACCAAAGACTGGCTGAAAAAGAAGAAATGGAGAGTCCTGGAATGGCAGAGTCAAAGTCCAGACCTGAATCTGTGTGATATGAGTCATTTTAAGAGGGCATACATGTGAGGGTGTGCTATCTTTTTCCTCAGTTAGAATAGGCATTTTTGTAGAATTACATTTACAGAAGATCTTGAAAAGACTTTTCTTCAGTTTTAATTGTTTAGTTGTATTACTTTAATCTCTCTGTATTGTTAAAATTGAGATTAAATAACCATATATTAAAACATGTTACAAAATACACATGCTTTCAAAGGGTGTCCTAATTTTTTCACATGACTGTATATATATTTTTGTAACTTAACATTTCTAAAAACACTCATTTGCTGGTCACATTTTCATAAATGTATGCTTACCTTTCTGTCTTTCACATCATATTGTGAATATCTGCAGGCTTAATTTTACTTTTTGGCTGCTGCACAGACCAAGGCCACAACTTTAAAATGTCACTTTGGGCTGTGGCAGTTTTGGATGAGAACGTATCATTACTTTAGCAATTTATAGACAGAACGATTTGTAAATTTATAAAACAACAATGATAGTTACAGCAGCTGCAGATGTTTGGTGTTGTACCAACCACAGAGACTAACACAGAATTTTATTAAATAACCCCCTGGTTTAAAAACTGTATTGGTATCTTTTGGGTTTGCTGTAAAATCTATCTGGGGGCTTTGATAGGCACAAATTTGTAGGTTGTCTCAACATATAAACATGACAGCTTTCTATCGCAACTCTGCAAAACTCCATCTGCTGATGAAGACCTCCAGATGTGGTTGAAATTCCAGTTAGTGTAACATGTGTCAGTGTTATTCAATAAAATATGTAACACATAATTAAGTCATTATAATGTGCCCCTGTCATTCAACAAAAGATAATGATTAGATTTGGCCCCAAACTTTATCTAAAAATGTCTAAAAAAAACCCAAAAACAAACCCAATAAACCCACTTGATTTAATATGGATTTAAAATAATCACGCTCTTTAAAATCTGAACTATGACATTACAGGTATTTAATTCAGTGAATTACTTAAAAACGTACATGCTTAATATCCCCTTAAATTAACTATTTAGAGCATTGAGATAAATGTCTTGAGCATGATGTAAACAAGTGTTGTTATCTGTCAGGAACGCCCTTCATCAGAAGACACTGATGCTGACACCAACACAAATACAAAAGCGTGTTGACAGATGTCAGTGGGAGCAAGTGCACAGCAGCGAGCCATGAAAACCAGCAGAAACACATCATTAAAACGACCGGGGCTTTCATAGAATTACAACTTAAGACCAGTGACTGAAGACGACATGTACGTTAACCCGAGGACACACCGTGCAGGCCTGAAGTCGGCGGACTTACCCAGAATATGATGTTGAATCCGAAGATGAAATACTTGATGCAGCAGCTCACTTCTTGAGCTTTGAAATGCTTTCCTGGCATCATCTGGACGGATTCTTTGTTTCTCAAACGCCACTCGTAGCTGGAAGGAATCACATCTATCGCCCTCTATGTTTGACAGCCTGCCTGGGGAAACACCCTTGTATTTTTGCTTCTTTTTAGGACCGATAAATGCGCCGTCAGTTGTTTTACTGTCTAATTATAAACACCATCGTGAACCTCCGCTGACAAAAGGCGCAGATGAAGCCGCCAAGGAGCGTTTTATTTGCCAGTGTCCCCCCTAAAGATGTCGGTGTATTCCAAAGGTAGAACGGTGAAATTGATCCACTGAAGTCAACTAGATTAAAGACAGTGGTCTTCTCTCTGAACCATAGCCCAGACATGGCTGTTATTTGATTGGCATGTGTGGGAACCAGTGAGGGTCTTCACAGGTCAGAAGAGGCGGGACTTCCTTCAGTCCTTATGTGACCTTATTCATTTGATTTGATTTGATTTGATTTTGATTTTATTCTTTCAAACATGCAGAACAAATGACATCAACACACACACATAATTACACAAAGCCAACCACTGCTAATCCAGAATCAGTTTGCTTATACCCAGCACATGTTTGAATGGAGTAAGAAGTCAGACTTATCCAGTCCTACCCCAGAACATCATCTTATACAAAAAATTTCATGCATCATTGGCTGCAAGCAGTATCTAAACATAGTAAATTCTCTTCTTCACCAACAAGTAATACACAGAAAACTTAAAACAGAGTGTTTCCTTCATGCATTCTTGATTAAATCTCTAATTCTTGCATATATCTTGAATGACACATACATTTATATTTATATTTAAACTCCTCAGTTCTAGTACTGTTTTTCATGTCCACACTTAAATTATTCCATAATTTGACCCCACTTATAGAAATACAAAATCTTTTTTTGGTTGTACGTATAGCATGAACTTTTAGATTTAACTGACCCCTTAAATTGTATCCCCCTTCCCTTTCATCAAATAACTTTTGGATTCCACTAGGTAATAAGTCGTTCATCACAGACTAATGAATAAAAAATGACACTTTATTACACATATTAGTCTATGGAGACCTAAAGAGTTTAATATTTAATACATTAATTAGATATTACGGATTAAAATATCCCAAATAATTATTAAAACAACACGTGTATAGCTAGGCCTAATACAACCACTAAATTGAAATAAAATAAAATTTAAATCGCCCTTGGTGTTATGAAGTGTTATTTTTATCCTGGTTCTTAGCAGATTATGCTGATGCGCTGAGGAACATTTACTCAGGAACTGTAGTACTTAAGTACACTTTTGAGGTATCTGTATTTTGAGTACTTTAATTTGTACAATACTTTACCATGGAGTTCAGAATGAATCCCAGAGAAAAAGAAATTAAAGCAGAAGTGAGTGAATGTATTTTGTGTATTCTTTTTCTTTTAATATTCCAATATTTTTTATTCTTTAAATGTGGATAAATGTTGTCCCCTGGTGGCAAAAACTACCACTGACATCATAGTGATTCTCCCGCAAAGCCATGTTACAAATAAAGCTACAAAATTTAAGTATATTTGAGTAATTTGCCAGATACATTATTCCAAGATGATACTGTGTGTTAATTTGCAAAATAAACATCAGTGGCCATTTTGAGTATTGGCTTTGTTTATTGCATAAAATAAAATCCTAATGTTCTAACCTATTATAAATATGTTTACAAAACAGGATAAATTATGAAAATAAATATCGTGTGCAGTTTGATTGTACTGTCAATGCAGGCAGGAAAAAATGAGATTTACATATTCATTGTAAGCCAATAAAAAAGACACACTCATAGTTATGCAATCGTAATCGTATCTTGTGCCAAGACAAATATCATGATACAGATGGCAGCATTAAACAGGCTGTTCTTTTATCTGATGCATCATACAAACAACCCACCAGCCTGGATCTGATCTATAGTTCAGTATGATTTGCAGCTCAGTCAGTATTGTCAGACACATCTACTACAACCATTACTTTATTCACATGGTTAACACCGTCTCCAAAGATTTTCCTGAAGGTACTAAAAAAAAAAAAAAAACCTGTTTATGAAAATGGCAATACAAAAAGTTGTAATAATGCAATATCAAAATAATTCACCCCAGTTGCTTCAATTTTGGATAATCGTCCCATAAAAATATAAACAGCTTTGGATTTAACAAAATAGTTCACGTTAAAAAAATACCACTTCAGAATCTCTGGAAAATAATCTTTTTTGCTTGTTTTTTTTTTTTTTTTTGTGTGCGGTAGTGTTAAAAAATGTACACAAATGATTTGAAGTTAAAAAAAAGTTTTTTTAGTTTTTTTTTTTGCACCACCCACATTTCCCTTTTTTGTCTACACACAGTCTATTGTTTAGTTTTAGGTTAGAGGCAATGAAACCTAATTTGTCTCGCTATTTTACCTGCTATAAGCTACACATTACATCCATGTGTTACTTGATGGAACTTATACACAGATTTTCACCTTGCAGAGGAAAAGGTTTCTATGACTGCAAAACAAATACAGCACAATCTTATAAACACAATGCACCTTCACTTCTTTCGTAAAGCTTTTTGCACAGTTCCACTGACATTTAGCACAAAGTCTAAAATGCTGACTGTGGAATAAATAACCCTGAAGGGCAGTTGAAGAGTTGAGATGTAAAAGAAATGTGTTGGAGAAAAAATAACTGTAAAAACCATGTTCTGAAATGCTGTGCACTGTGCGCAAAACCATTGTACAAAATATGTATTTATTTCCTTCAATTAGCAACCATATTTTACTACATAAAAATAATTCAATAAAAATATTTTAAAGTGCCCATGGCATGCTCATTTTGCTAAGAAGAGAATTCACCGTTGTAACATTGTAGACAAGTCAAAAATCAAGGAAAAGCATGCCATGGGCCCTTTAATTCGTTTTGAGTTTCACATTCTGTTTCTTTTACTCTAGGTTTGCCCAGTATCAAAGGGCACCTATTCATTCAACAGATTTCTTACTGTATATTCTATTTGGAACAATCACAGTGGCATGCTGGAAGCAATGCCATTCGCATTTACTATTTATTGCATTAAAATGCATGTCAATATAGCAGACGCGTATAAAGGTATGAATACATCATGTATTTAAAAAAACATAAGGCTTTCAGTGAATTACCTTCTGATGACATTTCTGTAGCACCTCATGAACCATCGTGTTGATTCTTTGAGTTTTAGACATTAATCACAGTTAATGAATCCAGCAATTTATTTTTTCTAAACATGGTTTTTATAATGGCTAGACGGCACCTATCATTTGCTCTGTAATGAGGTTTTCTGAGTTATTATAAAATGTATAAAGTCTTCTCTTTAAAGAACACTGAAATGCATAATGTTAATACATTCAGTCTTAGAGCGTTTACATGATCTCTCAGGCAAAGCTTCAGAATGGATGTGGAACACTGCACTTGGCTTTAGCTCTGTATTATTTGAAGAGTCACCCTGTGTCATGTCGGAGCAGCTCTGTGACATTTCTCGTTCTTTGACTGAGCTGCATAAACACTGCAGTGTAACGGAGATCACAGCAGGGCAGGAAAAAGGAAAAGATAAGCCCACACAGTTGACCAAAGTTGGCATTGCCCACATCATCCAGTCACAAGAGGATGCAGCCCGACTCACAGCTGTGGTGGTGTATCTTCTTGTTGTGTTCTCCGAATATATCCTGTTGAGATGTGTAGCAGCAGGCTCGGGGCACTTTAAGTCACCTTGATAGTAGACTTCTTGTGAACACAGAGCAAGGAGACATAGGGGACACCGATGAAGGCCCATTTCTCACTGGGCCAGAACATGATGACCGGTCCTCGCTCAGGGGCTTCGGTTGCAACGTCAAAGTAGGCAAAGCAAACACAACCCAAGTAGGATGCCAGACAAATTAGAATGTGCCTGTAAGAGTCAGAAATGTTTGAATGAACCAGAAAGAGTTTCATAAATACATATTATTATTGTGTTTGCAGGTGCATCTGTAAAAGATTAGCAATGTGTACAGTGTGTAAATCTCCTTGTCAACTAATAACAAAACAGACAAACCACTCTCCTAGTGTAGTAAGAATATTGCTTTAGCATTTGTTTCAATTTTGTTAAAACTGTTACATTTTTCTTGATTCTAGTGAAAGAATAGCTTTTTTGCTTTTTGTTTTGTTTTAAGATCCAGATCCAATTTTTTTTGGAAAATTCTTGAATCAAGTTGAAAACAGGTCTAAATATCTGACTGCACTGCATTTATTCACTTGTTTAAAAAAAAAAGTAGAAAAAGCTTCTTAAAGCTAAATTATACACAGACAAGATGAGGATTTTTGCATTTTAACAGCATATAATAGAATCAGTTTCTATTTTAGTATCACAAGCATGCATAAACTGTCAGTAAATTACAACCTGAATAGTATCAGATGCAGTGCTGCGTTTTCTGAGTTGGCTGTGAGCTTACCAAGCACAGTGTCGGCAGGGAAAGTTGACAGATGACCACATTTCACAGAATATCCTGTCACTGATCCAGCAAAGCAGAGCCAGCGCCCACCAGATCCCTGAGATTAGGCCCAGCTTGAACACACGTGGGTTTTCACACCTGCAATGATCAAACAGAGCGCTGAGAAATGTGTGAAACTGTGAAAAGAGACACAGATACAAAACACAAAAAGCTTTTTACGACTGTAGAACAACCATGAGTGGACTGAAGAGTTAAGGTCTTACCTGCACATTATGTTTTTCATTTTTACATATAGATTTTCATAATCTCTATTACTGTACTATCAACATCATATTTCATACGCACAGTATGATGTTTTTATTCAAATCCTTAACGCATGTGATTTGTGTATGCAAAAATAAAAATGTAAAATAATTTTTTTGTTGGCATCTATCATGGGCATCCATTTGTTCAGAAAAGTACACCTCATGTGAAATTAAAATATACAGCTATCCACACTGAGGGGTGGGGGTGGGGGGGTGTTCAAACCTAGAACCTTGAACCTTCTTGCTGTGAGGCACCAGCTCTAACTACTATACCACCCCAATATGCAACTCGTTTGTCAAACTGCTTTTGAAACCTGATTTAACCTTTTTTTTGGCCACTTGGGGAACAAGCTGTTAAATGAGCATTGTCATACATATAGATACAGACCAAGTGGTTTGTAAAATTGTAGGTTTGCTGGTGCATTTATCCTTAGGTAAGGGAACTATCAGCTCTTTCTTTTAGTGATCTGGCTGAGCTGGAACCCAAGCAAGCTTTCTCCTCTACTCCTCTGCACAAATACCTCCTACTGGACACGACAATGACTTACAGATACATGAGCTAATCCAGTGTGTGGCTGATAAACTATTCTTAGTCTTGTCCTCCTTAGACACCAGTCACAGCCAAACACTGAGTGCCAAAACAAAGACCGGGACAAGGAAGGCTGACTAATGTGTGTTGATGATGCAGCAGAGAAGCCACTGCGACACTTTGTCATCTTCCCTTCAGAGAGAACATCTGATGAAGTCATACTATTTGACAGTGTTTAATTTGGGTTAAGGTGAAAGGAATGTTGGGATGACAAACAATTTTTGCTTCAACACAATAAGATTCAGATAAACAACAAGCATCACTCAGCTGCAGAGACCGTGAAGAATTTGAAGTGTTAGTCTAAAGTGAAGGAGGCTCCCTATTTACACATCCAGGTGATAAGTAACATTACCATGGCGTCTCTGACCACCATGGTAATGTAATGCCAATATTTACTGACATTTTAACTTTGTTTTGGTCTCTGCCAACTCCTGAGAAAAATACCTGGTGCTTTAACTGGCTGGTAGGTTCACTTTTAATCAATGATTTTTACTGGACAGGTAGAGAACAGAGGATTCATTAGAGCTTTTTTTGCTGCAGATAGCTCCCTAATGTGAATGGAAACCCCTTCTGCCGAAAAACACACAATGTGTATGAATAACTCAGCTCTTCTATCACTATAATATAACTATGGTTGCTATTGTTATTTCAACACTTCCAGTTTGTCATATTTGTAAGGCATGTCCTATGCACTGGACATATTGTTTTTGTCAAACTGGAAGTGACATGAATAGGGGCCAACAGTTGTACAGTAAAAGCAAAGACAACACATTAGGGGAAAAGTCCATCAGCCCGGGCCCCAGGAATTCTCTCCCACCAGGAACAAAAACAAGTGACCTGGACAGATGACTGGCCCTGGCATTAATGTCAAGAATTCAAAACAGTTTGAACAATAGATGACTTAAAGTTAGAACACTGAATGTGTCGAGTACGGGATGTGGGAAACGGAAACAGCAGAGCATGGCTCCACATTACTGGGACGAAGGAAAGCACTGCAGACGCACACACAAACACACACACTAATCTTGCATGAATGACTAGTTGTGCGTCTTCAGGAACATTGTTTTTACATCAAAAAGCCCCATAATGAGTCAAGTACAAAAGGTCAAAGGTGGCATGTTAATGTCCTGGCTGACAATGAATGTTGACACTTTGCTCTGTTAACAACTAAAGTAATTGTAGGAGCTGATTTTTTTTATCTGCTGCTGTAAATTTAAACATTAAACAGTTCAGTTATTGTGTGCCTATCAGTTTACACACTACTGAAGTCTTTACTAGTGAAGAAGACATTTCGTAAGTTTGAATGCTGCAACCTGATTGGGTAAATCACTCCTTTGAAACTAGCTAGATGTTGCTTTGGAAGGACTTTACACACATTCTTAGTAATGAATTTATGAATAACTGGTACAACCCAGTAACCCAACAATCATATCTAGCAAGTCTGATCCAGGAGCACAGTCTTAATATGAACCACAGTGGACACACACACACACACACACACACACACACACACACACACACACACACACACAAAATTTGGTGCAGGATTTGTCCTTCCCTTACCAGCAACTTGAGTCATGGTTACATGCTATGTATGGATTGTTTTCCCATTACAAATTGCCAAGAATATTGCCGACCATGTGTTTTTACCAACACTTATCCGATGTCAAATTTTATGAGTCACTATGTGACTGAAACGTGAAGATTTGGGCATCCAGGACTATGATGGTACTGAATCAGAACCACACCTTTACCTCTCTTTTTCACTAACCTTTTAAGCTCAGTAATGAGCAGCACTGTGCAGGGGATGCCCAGGGTCATGAGCGACAGTGAGTTGACAATAGGCTTAACAAAGGCCAGCCCGGTGGTGATCCCTGACAAGATGCCGATGACCACTTTGAACCTCGACCTTCATGGAGAAGCAAAACAAGTCAGAAAAAAAAAAAAAAAGAATCTGCAGCAATTTAGCACTCTATGAACTAAATTATGAAATACAGAAGGAATGTTGTGGTGACTCAAAATGCACTTCAACACACTCATAAACACAAATAAACAAGAATCACTTGGCTACAAAGACTGTGGAAAATGTAAGTGACAGCCTGAATTGAAAGAGCCGCCATGACAGCTCTGCGACAGAGGAATGAGAAGTGAAGACATGTGATGCAGCTTTTACTGCTGTCAGCTATTTTATACAGGCCTGTTATTAAACATGAGTATCATAGTGGTAGACACATCATATGACAACCCAGTGGCTGACAGGGAACCTGCTGAAAACAATCACAGTATAATTGACAGGTAGATATTAAAAGTGATGTTTGCCTTGGTGTGAACTTGATTTAATGTTAAAAGGTGAAAAATCTACAGTTAAAACACTGATTTTGTTTTAGTAAATGAAAAACATACAATGAATTCTGAATACACTGAACATTTAAAAGGTAGCAAATCAGTTTCTGTTGTGATATGTTCAAGTGAAAATCTGCATACATAGTTGGAAACTGTAGCACTGCATTGTTGTAGAAAGACAGTGGCCTGTTATTTACCTGGAACACATTGTTGGGCCTTGTCATTGTCATGAGCCCAACACAGTGATACATCAGTTAGTGAGACAGTGCCCACCTGTTGACCCTGGAGACTAGCCTTCAATCTTACGGTGTACTTGCACTAGGTAATCTGTACTGAAGCCCAAATTCCACTATCTTTAACTAATGTGATCACTTTAACGTACTGTCCCCTGACCCGCTTGGAAGAGGTGGGTCTGGGCATGTTTTAGTTGGCACGGTACGCACAGTGTAGTCGCTAACTGTGCCCAGGTACGGAACACCAGTGCTATGTGCTATGCGAGAGCACTTCTGTTCAGCTGCATCATGGTGATGTAAGCATGCTCTGGCCCAGATCATTTCAACAAGGGGTGCAATTGTGCTCAGACATGGTACAAAGCAACCGCGCCTAATGTGAGTACACAGAATTGTATTGGCATTGGTGATAACATAGTTATTGACTCAGTGGGGTTGTTACTGGTGTAGGTTTCTCATGTTTGACAATCTTGGTAGAACAGTGTCGGTGGCTGGACAGGTGAACGAGCCTGGCTCTCAGATGGGATTGGCTACCAAGCTAGTTGGGCCAGCCACTGTTTAAACTGAGCAAATACAATGCAGATACTGTGTCATGCAACATATCTACTCTTTGCTTTGGGTGAGGATACGATTCAGGGATACCGTGTTATAAGAATAGGTTATGATTGGAAAATGGTGTTACTTATTGCGGGGCCCTGAAGATTCATGAAAGCATGGCCTGACACTCTTCTTTGGCACCAAATAATGGTTAAACATCACTAAACATATATACTAAGCTTTCATATCAAAGCTCTTTCACATTTAATTGTGTATTATTGACTTTAACTTGCTGCAACACATCTCTACTAACATGTTGACACATTTATGAGAGTTTCAAACTTCTAATGATGCTTATTTTAATAGAATATCATCAACATACCGACTCCTCCTGAACATCCTGGGTAGGTATCTCTTGGGAAACCACATGGCAATAGCACACATGAGCACCCATAAGATGGCCAACTCATCCAACATCTGGCCAAGGAAGCTAAGGGTGGCATGAAAATAAGTTGATCCAATACCTGGGAGAAAAGGACACAGAAACACACAAAAGTGTGTCAGAAAACAGCTGTAATCTAAAGCCACTAAGTGTTAATAAGGCTAGATAAACAAATAGAGTCCTTTTGTAAGATCCTTTGATAAAGTAAGGAAAATCAAAAAGATCTAGTGCTGATGGGAATAGACGTTCGTGTCAGGATGAGCAGTCAAAATTGTGCATTTTGTCCAGTGTACAGCTGACATGTTACCATTTCAATGTATTAAATTAGGAAAGTAACAAAACCAGTGAAAAGCTGATGGGGTGTTACAAATGTGACCCTAGTTCAAACAAACCACTGTATAACAGGAACGTCAAATGATCCAGACAGACATGTAACCACATGGGTCACTTGATGTCACATGACTTAAGGGATATGTGACTTAACTCTGTTCAACAAAAACAAGCAGCTCTGTGAGTAAATAATAAAAAACGCCTATTGTTTTAAGAACCATGACAAAAATGAAAACCCATTAGCTGGAATTCAGCGTTACTGTAACTGTGAGTTTTGAAATGCTGCGGTCCATCAGTGACCCTTTATTATCACGGCCCAACAAGCCATCTTTTATCAGCATAACCAGTTTTCATAACAGGCGCTGCAGGAGAGTCCCACATTTCAACAAACGTCTTATCAAACAGGGACTGCAGCTCTCAGTCAGATGTTCCTAATCATGACAACCACAAATATCACAAGTAGTCACAGCTAGTGTCTTCAGAAAACACCTAGCACTCTTCTTTGAAAGGGAACTCGGCATATTGAAAATGAACCAGCAAGCACTTCAACAAGCCTTTTTTTTCCTAGTAAAAATGACAAATATTCATTAGTTCTGACTTCTCAAATGTAAATATTAGCTGGTTTTCTCAACCGTCTATATTAATAAATGAAATATGTGGTTTCTGAATGTTAGCCATACAAAACAAGACATCTGAAGACATTATATTCATGTATGTATTGGCGCATAATGCACTGTAATCTCTTTAGGATTGTGCTGCCATTTACTGTATATGCAGCATTACAACACCACCTCTAACCTTAGGCTCAATAAGAAATATTATTAAATCTGCAACGTTAACAAAGCCTGAACATCATTAACTTTGTCAAAGGGAGACT